GCACAATTAATTGAAGTAGAGAAACCAAATTCGTACGCACGTGTGGGCATATTAATAACATTCGCGCATCAGTGAAGATCTAATGGGAATGTGATAAGAGTCGAGGGGGGGGGGGCTACATTTAAATGGGAACTATTATGAAAATACCAGGGCTACTGACCTCGTGCTCGATCATGTTACGTTGTATGCCGCGCACCGCCGCAAAGAACTCAAGGTGCTCCCGGGGTGTGAGGAGATCAAAGAGAATGTCGTGCTGTGGACAGACTCCCGTCATGCTGCGTATCATGTGCATGTCGTTGGAGTCGCGAACGTCGTAACCGAAGATAAGGGCGGTGCCGGCGGTGGGGGCCGTGAGGCCCGTAAGGATGTTGAAGAGGGTCGTCTTGCCGGCCCCGTTGTGCCCGAGGATCGCCGTTATCTGACCCTCGTAGATCGTGAGGTTGATACCGTTTACGGCTTTTACCTCCGAGCGCCGGCACTTGCTGTAGGACTTGTAGAGGTCGACGATGCGTATGGCCTCGCGGCCCTTCATTTCACGCACGACAGGCTCGACGTCGCGATTCGCCTCCTCGCCAGGAATGAAGGAGTTGGACTCGCCGTTCACTGCTGGCGCCTGACAATCACCAGGGCCAATTCGTATCGTCGGCTTTATTACTTGTGCATGCTCGGCCGCGTCAAGTGACGCAGTTGTGGTGCTATTTAGACAGTCTGCGGAACTTACTCTCGGCACTTTGCTCTTCTTGCACCAGAATCCCGGCGTGAAGCAAAACCAGGCGGGACGCTTGGTGCCATACTCGCCTGAAACATCAACAAAAAAGTACTACTGGCTCTTGCTCGGTCGCTTGGTCGCTCGGTCGCGTGGGGGGTAGGGGTGGGGGTCGGGGTGGAGGGGGGCGAGAAGGAAAGAGGAGAATTAAATACTAAATGTGATACTAGTCGAGACTATGAGAGTACTCGATTTTTTATTCAAACGCTCAAATAGCTTATAAGCTCTATATTTTGCTATTTTACATCTGTTGTGCATAGAGAATTTATAAGACGAACGAAGAATTTCGTTTCTTTCCACATTGATAATATTGTGTGCCAATCAATCGTATGAAGTATGTCGATATCCTTCTTATATTTTTATCTTATTATCATTATTATTATCATCATTATTATCATTATTATTATCATTGTTATTATCATTATTATTATCATTGTTATTATAATTATAATTATTATTGTTAAAGTAAAAGTTTTCTAAATATAATGATAAAACGATACTGTAAATAGTATCGCTTTGATGATGGATTAAAAAGTATTGATTAAAGGCAAACGAAGCAGTGAGAGTTTTTGGGATACAAATTATTATTGTGATTTAAAGATTAAAAGCGATTTATTATATTACCGGATGATTTTCATAAGAAATTATAAATTGGAAAACTTTACTCGATAAAAACAAATGCTTAATAAAGCTCCAAAGTGTTATTTAGAAATTAAATCGTTTTCAACGTCAAAGTAACATGGGTTATGGGTAATTTAAAAAATAATCACTCACTCGGAATGACAGAGTCAAGATAGTAGGCCAATAATCCATACAGAAATATGTCCAAAGTCATCATTATCAAACTTCCACCAAATGGAATCCCAGGACCTGACCAAAGATTTTCGAAATTAACTCCTTCGCCTTGTAGATCTAATACGAGTGCCTGGATAAAAATTTTTAATTCACTATTATAAAAATATATTAGTCGTATAATTAAAAATTATACATATTTGATGATATCACGAAACATTTATGAACTACTTGCTTTTATGCATCAAACTAAGCAGCATCTTATATCAGCCACTACGACTATTAAAATAATTTCACGCAACGTCAATTTATTCAATCGTTGTTATCGGTTTATCAATCTTCTTATTCATAAGTAAACAAACTATCGATGAAACTTACCTTGTCCATTGCTAAAGCTACTCCAGTAGGGCTTAACAAAGATACGAGCCAAAACGAGATCGAGCTCGAATCGTCAACGAACACTTGTATAAAGTACATAAGACTCAAAATTGTCACCGCAAAGTTGCCTAATACACCAGCAGTCTGAAATAATTTATTAATTTGTTAATTTATCGTTAATACGTCGCATTGTTAATTCGCACGATTAATGGTCAATGTTTTGGTAGTAATAGATCGAGCTTACACGTGATTTATCGAAGAAAGGCGTAATCATAAAGGCGAACATAATTACGGAAAAACTGTAGAGAACGACCAGGAGAAATATCGGCAAAAAATGCGTATGTTGAAACATTTGTAATGTAAAGAGTAAAACAACTGCCACGGCTGACAGTAGTAGCACGAAAATTGCATATATAATGAACCATGATAGCCTGGAAGAATATAAACCATACATAATAATAATAATAATAATAATAATAATAATAATAAATAATAAATAATAATAATAATAATAATAATATTATTATTATTATTATTATTATTATTATTATTAATAACGCTCCTCCTATCTGGAATGCGTCACTTCGTTTCGTATAAAATGAAAAATTCCCCTACCAAAATACGGAATCCTTCAGACCCATTATCTTCATTCCCTCCTTAATTTTATTCTCCTTTTCTCCGACAATTAATATTAATAAATAAGTTATAAATTGTGAAAGAGCTATCACCATATATAAAGGAATCACAACCCTGAAGGCGAGCATCCAATCTAGAATATAAATGTGTAAGTACGCGTAGAGTAAGTGTAAATGTAGAAAGACATTGTTAATGGCGAATATTGCAAAAGTGTCACGGTATAAAGTTAAAAAATGCATGGTTTACCTGCTGTGTATGGTCCCTTAGGGAACATTTCGAGCTTAATATCTGGTACCATAATATCAGTGTTGCCGGTATCGAACTAAGAATTATTAACGAGCAAATATAAAAAAGTGAAATTAAGCAAATGTAAAATTTTAGTATTACGAATTAAATAGATTATACGTTGCGTTACCCTAATCTTTGTTATGTCCATCATTAATTGTAAGGCCATGAAGCCGGATAAAAAATAATTATTGACTGGGCATGAGCCTCCAGTTTCTATGGACAATACACCGCCCATCCAGTGACTGGTGTCCTTCCGGCAGGTTACCGAAGAAGAAAACATTTCAGTCGGCGATGGGGGCGACGTGTATGAGGGATTCGTCCGTATTTCATATCTGTCGGGAGGAAATTAAAGCGCGTGCTTACGACTTATCGATAAAGTACAAATGGATTATATTTATAATTAGCCTGTATCGCAACTAAAAGCGTTATTATCAATAAATTATCTTTTTAAGTAAATTTTTAGTAATTTTTGCTACCTTTTGCTCACCGAGCTCTTACATTGCAAAAATATGTCTTATTAAGTAGTGAATGTGAAAAGTTAAAGGAGCTATATTTTTTTGAGAGAAAAAAAAGTCATTACCAATGCTTAGTGTCATATGACTGTTTCATTAAGAAACATCTGTGCTCGAATAATAAAATTACTATTAATTATTGAATTCAATAAATTTATAATAAGAATCCATCGTTGCAAATGCACAAGAAACATTAAATTCTTAACAAAAACTAATAATTATATTATTGATATATATATATATATATATATATATATATATATAAATTATACATTATTCATATTTGTGTTGAAAAAGAATGCTTTTGATAAAATTATATTAAAATTCATATTAAATACAATGGACTCACAACAAGCGATGAGATATTGGCTGAGGATCTTCAAAAATGACCGCTAATGGTATGCTGTAGGGCTCCTTCCAGTAAGCGGCCTGCAAATCGTCTTTCGTATCATAGACGATAAAATTAAGGGAATGCTTAGTCGGGTAATTCCACATGGACAGCCATAAAACATTCATGGAATTTAGGAAAGCCTGAAATTCGGTATTTAAGAAGATAGAGTGTTAAATAAATTGACGAGACGAATATGAGAGGCGAACGGTCGTTAGCCATACGTACGCTCCTATACTCACAATAGTTTCTGATGAATTGGGCACCACGGCTATAGTATTATTTTTATAACCATTGAAGAACTCAAAAATATCACCCTCCTGTCTCTGAGTGGTGATTGCAGGGTAGCTTGGATTGGGTATCAAAATCTTCACCACAATTAATATTCCAAGAATATACAGAGGCAAGAATATCTCCTGTAAAGTATGTGTGCGAATTATGAATCATGAAAGGTTACAAAATTGATAATTGTTTATCAATGATATAGCCCGATACTTTCATCATTTTTGCGTATTATTGTATAATTGAATAAGCTAATTGCATTGCGCGCGTATATTTGCAATTTGTCAAACGAAATAATGGACTTTCATCGATTTAGACATGCGTAATTAACATTATCTAAATGTCCATATTTAATATGTATTATGAAGCAGATATTTGATCGTAAACATTCGGTTGTGTGATACTCGTGGCAAAATATTATCACGAGGTAGATATCTCGCACTCGTAATCCATCACAATTATCACCTCGTGAAAAAATGGACGGAATCTCATTTCAGCCTATAATTTATCCTAAATCTCGGATTCGCTATTATTCGTGAAAATTATCAAGCATCCCCGTTATATTTATGAATTTCACGTCCACGCCACGTACAATAATAAGATTCATCCGATTCGTGTGTGCGTGCGCGTGCACATATGAAAAAGCTTTCGTTCGCTCGTACATTGATATATTGATTTAAATTATCGGTACATGAATAAAGACTGTTCGTATAAGCACGCAATTTAACAGATGTTTTATAAACACACAATTAAACAAATTTTCAAGTAAGCAATTTTAAATACTCGACGTTTAAAGCGTGAAGTGTCTTATTTGAAAATAATGTTGTCACTCTAGGGATCATTCATAATTGAAATATTCGCTTTGGGATACGGCATCCGATGAATAAAGGAAGAGATAAAACGTACGATCTAATTTTATCGAGAGCACGAGTGCAAGTTCGTGTCGTTCGAAGGCGCTCGCGTGCGACAGAGACTGCAAAGTAGGTTCAACCTCTTCGTCTAATCCGAACATTGCGTCTCGTGCTTCTTCGCTTCGCGTTACCATGGAGCCACGTGTAAACTTGGTCTACCAAGCACACAATGTCTCTTGCCCACCAACAAATCCCTTCCCACTTCGATTTTCGGCCGTGTAAAGCGTACAACCGTCACTTACCACCGACTCACGCCCCAAATTATCAGTCTTCTCTTTTCTTAACGAGTGCAACATGTCGTTCTTCGTGGACATAATGAGCGAGGACTCGTTCTACGAGAATCTAACATTGGGAATCCTAAAGCATCTAGAAGCCAATCCTTGTATAAAGAACGTACAACTTGAGAGACGAAATGCCTGTGATAGGTCGGTGCTGTTAGCGTGGGAGCAAAAGCACTGCTGCCTATTGACAGAGGAGTTAAGGAACTTTTATGGGTCGACCGATGGATTTCTGCTTACGTGGAATCTCGAAATAGCAGGTGAAGAGCAATGCGAGTGATCAATCGTTATTTAATTCTTAAAGTCACTCTAATCGAAGCATTTATCTTCGAGACTTGGGCTATTTATTATAAACATGCGTATAATCCATGATATTGAGAGAGCAAAAAGTGGCGAGAAAGAATCATTGGATTACCTTCTACAATCCCTCTAGAATCCTTATTATGCATAGCTAAGTCGAGGCTTCGATTAACTCATTTCTTAATATTATTCAACAACTTTTTTAAATATCGTAATTAAAAATTAGCACTTTTCAATATTTTTATTTATTTATTTTTCTTCTTTCTTTTATTTTTTCTTTTTTTTTTTACTATCGATAGATAATCTATACTATCTTGATAAACTGTGACATAAAAATTTTAACGAAAATTATTTATCAAGAATAATAAAATATTACTGAGTTTCAATAAGAATTTTAATTTTTTTTTTTTTTTCCAATATAAAAGATAGTTTTGTAATTTCTATATAAGTGGATAACATATATTATTGTTACGAAACTTGCTATATATCGCTGCATTTTTCGTATTAATAATAATTTCATTCGGTATGATAAAACAATCGTTAAATCTTATAATATAATGTGTTTCCGGAATAATAAGAAACGAGTAATAATTATTTTGCTTTTACTTCAATTGAAAAGCGTTTTTCTTTCAATAATAATTTTCACGCATAATGCACTTTTATGCATAAGACATTTGATAATTTCTCAAACATAATACTGAATTATGACATATTAAGATATATAAAATTATGCATCTGAAATATATATATATATATATATATATATATATATATAAATTAAATGAAAAGATTCTTTTAATATTTTTCCTGAAATTGCATATTATTTTATACTACGACCATTTGATTTACTATAGAAACAGTACAATTACAAACATTATAGAAATTATTAATGGAAGAGTTAGAAATTCAGTGGTACTCCATATAAGTAAATATAAATAAATATCAAGTAATATTTTAAACAATTATAAATGTTTCGATAAATATAGTTATGTAATATTGATTTTTTTTCTTCTTTTTTAATCTTCCTTTTTATGAAAAATTGATCTCAGTATTATTTATAATACTTTTATAAATCCAACAATTGAACTTTAATTTATGAAATGAATTACCTATTTTCTCTGTTTTAATTAAATTTATCAAATTTTGTTATTCCAAATGAAATTTTAGTGCACTGATGGATATTATTATAGATATTACTAAACATATATTGTATATATATTACTATATATAACTAGAATCGTTAACGTTGAGGTTATTAAAGTATATATATTACTATATATAACTAGAATCGTTAACGTTGAGGTTATATATATATATATATATATATATATATATATATAATTTAATAATCGAGTAAATTTATTAGAAAGTTGAAGTATGTAAATGAAGTTAACAAGGTTCATTAAGTTCATAAAAATTTTAAATAAATATCTCAAGCTTCTTATATAAATGCTGTATGACCTCAAATTATTTTAAAAAGTTTTAAATAAAAACTTTTCATCTTTTTAGCTTTTATGCATTGAGCTGCCAATATAAAAATTATAATTTATTATAAGTAAATTTTCATTATTTTCAAAATAATAACTGTATATACATAGCTCAATCTAATCTTTTCATTTGTTAATATCTAAGCTTTAGACTTAATACTAATATATACACAAATACAAGATATAATAATCTTAATAATAAATATTCAGATAAGGGGAGAAACACGTTGATAAAAGAGAAAACGCCACTTCATTTCCTCGATTAATAAGCTTTTATAAAATCTTCTACAAGAAGTACCGACTTTTGTATTAAAGCATTTAAATTAAGCGATAGGCCTCTACTTATATACTTATCCTTCTCGGCAATATAGGTGAGGAGTTTCCAATCGGCCGAATGGAGATAAAGGAGCTATCCAATCTAAAACGTCATAGCAATGTCAAGGGGAACAGCTGCTGCTGCACCAGCACTAACACCAGCGCCAGCACCAGCTACAGCAGCAGCAATAGCAGCAGCAGCAACAATAACAACAAAAACGATAACGAAAATGGCACATATCTCCAACAGACGAGCAACGAGTCGAAATTACCGGTCATCCAGCCCAGCTTTACTGATTCTCGCTGTAAGCTTTTCGAGCTCAGTGAATGCGCGGATTGCCGTGTTTTCTTGACCTACCAACTCCAACCCGATCAGGACGAGCCCTCGGTCTGGCTGTATAATACTACAACCAATCAGTGGTACCGGTTGGCTGACAATTTCATCAAGTACTTTCGCATAATGCTGGTGCACCTGGGTCTGCCACTCTGGCAAATGTGTGCAGTCGGACTACAATTGCCCATTTGGCTCGAGCAGGTATTATGCTCCTTATGATTTACGATCGAATTATCTTTGTCATATTGTTCATTTAGCGCAATTCACGCCGCTTCGTTAATTTCCTCCTTTACAATGCTATTTATAAACCGATAAAGATTCCGATGCATTTTTTATCTGTGTTTTCCTGACCTAGCATTTCTACAAGACATTAATAGCTTTTCTGATTAAATGTCTCGTCTTTATATTATCTCACGTTCTTCATTCTCCACATACAAAAATTATACGCTATTATTAATTATCATTACAAAGCAGAATTCTATTAATTTTCATTAAACCATTACGATAGGTTGTTACTAATTATTTTAATCAATAGCCGGGCCCACACAGATTAGATACCAAAATGGCTTTCCTCCATTAATAATTTACGTAATATTAACGGTATATATATTAAATCGTATTACTGATTATATTGTTGTTATGTAATTGTTAGTAAACAATTATTTATTTATGTACGTCAGTATTTAATATAAGTAGATTCAGATTATTAAAATTAATAGATTAATAAAATAACATATAAAATCTATTAAATTTCAAAAGTTTTATAGCCAGGGACGATAATGTAAATTGTCTAATTTGTGTAATCTAATTGTGCAATTTGTAAAAATATAATAAAGATTTACAATATCGTGGTGATGTAGATTTATGTATGTAAATATATATATTCTTGCATAAATAATTACTTCTGCTTCTTAAATGCTTCTTTTTCTACTGCAGCATTTAAATCCTCAATGTTCATTTTACGACTCTTAGTCTAATCATTGCAATATTTAAATTTTTAAACATTTAACTGCACTCATTAAGTGAGTAAATATTACTGCGACTTTATACGAAAAATAATATTAGTGTGTCACTAACACCGCAATCTTTAAAGTAATTATATGCATATTTTTTTAACATAAAAACACTTGCAAATCGCTTAAAGGAAAAACGAACAAAAATTAGCAATCTAAGGCGTACGAGCCTTTATGAATTGTCTTTTAACAGTGATATAATCATCTTGGAGATTCGCATGTACACGCACGCGCGTCCCACATCCCCTTAATCACCAAACTCCCGCCAAGCTCAGTGCCACCCTCGATTCGACCCACTTCCTCGCCCCATGCAAATCCATACAATTTTATCAAAGGAGCTCGTCCGAAACAGGTCTACTTGCTGGTTGGTCCGCATCTGCTCGAGTCAACGCTCCCCTCGGACCAGACGTCGAATCCCTACGAACCCCTCCCGACCAACCTCATCGACCCAGCCGTGTTCCGCGTCAAGGAGCAGCACCAGCACAACGGTGCCAAGCAAAAGACCGGCGGCGGCGCTGGCGGCTCGACTGCGGCGTCATCGTCCGCCTCGTACAACGCCAGGAAGAAGTCTTCGTCCCACTGTTGATGCACGCCGACGAGGTCCTTGGCCTAATTGGCAAGAGCCAGCTTTTGGCTACAGAGGCGCTCTCCTCTGTCCCCCGCGCGACAACAGCGATCAACTGCTGTGCAATAGGGCGGGCGGGGTGGGATGGGTGAGGGGAGGGGGGGCGGAGAGAGGGAAATGCGCGAGGGACGGAGAACGATAGTGCGTTTTTTGTCCCTCGCTCATCGCTGCAGTGGCACATGTGTGCATGCGCATAGCCACGCATCGTACGCGTGCTCGCGTTATTCTGGGTCAGTTTGGGCGCCGAATCGATTTCTTCTCGGTGACTCCGTCGCTCGTAAGAAAAAGTCAACGACAGAGACGCTCGCGCGAGGACGGTTTTACCGAGGCCACAGAGTCGTCTCGCGGGACACTTATCACCTTAGTATCCTCTTAATTAAGTTTGCGAAAGGTGTGCATAAGGGCGTCCTACAAACACGATCAACAGCCGACAAAAAAAAAACCAAGGCGACCAGATGCATGGATATACGTAACCAAAAGCTAATGTGCCCGTAAAATACTCGGTATGCCGCTCTCTCGGCTTTCTCTCTCACTCACTCTCTCACTTTCAATTATATATACATAAATATTCATCTACACATGTATGTTTACGTGTTAACTAGCTTATGCGCGTATTGGCACTATAGTGAAACTCGAGAGCATAAGTATGTGCGTGAATGGGTTAGTATTTGATAATACGTACCGCCATTGTCTTTCTCTTTTCTCGTTTCTTCAGGAGAAGATTCCTAATGAGCATAGCTCGTAGCTGAGATAAGTACACCCCGCAAGAACCCATCCTGAATTCGTCTGTTTCTGTCAGTATCTGCAATGACAAAAAAAATTCAAGAGTTAGACAAGCTCCTTGTGGTTGAAACCATCGGGGATGCTCATTTTGGCTTCGACTACTAAACTCTTATAATACATAATTAAAAATGACATTTATTACATTTATCGACTAGAATGTTATTATAATATAAGTAATAACGCGTACGAGATTATTATTAAGAGGTTATTATTTCCGACTGAAATTTATCTTCGCGCATGCAGTGACACGTGAATTAAACGCAATTTCGTGCTCGAATAAAAATGCAACATATTCAAGGCAATATCAATTAGTAAATTAGATTTGCACATTGGACAAACATCGTTCAAAGACTAATGATTAATTAATTAATTAATTATAAAACTTATTTTTAACTATTCGATGAGTGTATTTTCTTTTCGGCACACAAAGATATATTCTCACTGACAACATTACAATATAATATTTTCTGAGATTTTCCCTGTTTATAAATTCTTATAATTATTATACATTTAAAACAACATGCACTTATTATAAAGTTAGTGAATCGTAGAAGCAAATCAATTATTAACCCAGGGCTTAAAGAAAAATTAAATTTAAATTATTCTAAATAAATTATTACAAAATAAGTTACAAAAATTCAACAGAATTATATTTATATTTATTCCATCTTCTATCATCTAACTCCCTTTTCCTAATTATTTCTCTCTTTGGTCTTTCTTTCGCATTTAAGTCTTCCGTAAATTTTTTTTGCCTACGATACTGCTTAATCCTTGACGAAACATCGTACTTGTTACAACATTTTAGATAAAAGACAATCCTATATATATATATATATATATATATTCGAATAGAACATGTTTAATTATTATTAACAACAGTAATTTTAATAATTTTATTAATTTGTTTAAATTATAGATTTTTCAAACCATCAATGTAAAGTCTTTCTTAATACGATAATTTAATTGAATACAAATAATGCAGATGCAAATGAATGCAAATAACTAGTAATGATTTAAAATTTAATTACATTTGAATTATATCAAATACACTCATCAAATACTCGGTATTTTCATTAACAGAAATTCTCTTGCAAAATATCTTTATAAAATATTCCGTGGAAATTGAATGGCAACGTTAAAATAAATAGTACCTTAACGCTTAATTTTAATTTGAAATAAATTTTCAATGATTATTTTAAACAGAAGAATATAGGAATTTTTATAGCAATAATTATAAGAAAAAAACTTGTTCTTCTCAGTATATCTTTGCCATACTAAAACAATTAATTGGCGTAGTATATAATACTTTGGTGAACAGAAAATAAGCAGAGTGTTCATACTATTTCCTACATATTGTTATATTATAAATAAAAAAAACTCTCGTATTATTAAAATTATTTTTTTTTTTTATCGAACATGGTAACTAAATCACTAGAAAAGCATGTAAATGGATAGATTAAACTTTTTTCAAATTTACAACAAATAGTTTATCCTCGCATTCAAAATTACTTTTGCTTCTTATCAAAAATAAATTAATATAATTGATAATAATAAATTAATACTGATGAGATTGTATAATTTTCCAATTAAATTAATATTACTAGTGAACATTTTCAATTTTTTAATTATTTAACATATTTTATAACATATTTATTTTATTTTTCCTGCATAAAATAATCAGCATTAAAGTATAATAATTAATTTACGATTTCTTTTTAAATTTTGATCATTTTGCACTAATTTACAATTCAAAATAAAAAGATAACTTTACCTTGAAAAATTTTTACTTTAAAAATATTAACTAATAATGTTTTGAATTCTTACTAAACTTATCCCGAGAGTTTCATTCAATAATCATATATTCATCATTGACCGATTTATTAATTTTTTATTTTTATATACTGTTGGTTGTATTCTATGATAAACTAAATAAATTTTAATTTATATATTACTTTCATAACATTGCCAAAATAAAATTAATGAGTTTGTTTCGAACTTCCGTATCTCTTAAGCAAGAAGAAAAATCAAATTTTTTTTTAAAAAAACTTAATTATATATTTATCATATTTAAATACAAAAAAGCATAATAATTATATAATAAAATTCTATAAATTCTTCTAAAATATTATAAATAAAAAATTGAAATAATGAAATTCACATAATTTAATAAATGACATTTCAATTAATCTAAATTATCGTTTTTGTTAAATTAAAATTAAATTTTAAATTTTAAATATTCATAAACTTATAATTTATATTTATAAATTTCCAAAGAATATTTAATTTCATTGTATCGCGAACGAAAAGATATTTTAGTATAGTATGGACTTTTTGACACTACTGTCACTACTAATATATACATCAATTAATATTCAAATATATTTCAAATATTGTGAATTCGAAGTCCAGTTTCTTTCAAATTAATAATTTCCAATACAATCTCTAAACATGCTTATGTTTCTAATTTGAATTTCATCTGATATTCACATTAATGTAGCTTTCATTTTATAAATTATTTACAATTAAAAATATAGTTATTATCATAATTATCGGTACATATTCGAGTCAAGAAATATACAAATATATTATTCAATTTATTCAATTTTTTAAATATAATAAAAATTTACTCTTCTATTGTATGCTTTAGGTAAGCCTAGAAATTCATTTAATTTAATACAATTATATTTTCGATTATTATTTTCTAATAAATTATATAATACAAGTATTATCGAAATTTTGTAATTTAAAAACTAATCAATGAAGAAGAACTTTAAAATACAAGAATATGTATAATTGTATACAATTATTATTTATAATATAACTAAACTATATTGGTATTTTACTTCGTGCCACGTCTTATCGAAATTTTATAATTAAAAAAAAAAAAAGATAATTTTTCAAATTCATGTATATCTTAGATATATTTAATAATAAGTTTATACAATTATTAAATATTTTCGAAAACAAATATTTAAAATAATTATTTAAATAAAAGTGTTTGAGTAAAATATATTTAAGATATTACATCTTTATTTGTAAGTTAAATTTACAAAATTCAATTTCAATACAAAAAAGTTTTACTTTAATGTCAACACAAATTATCCACTGAAACAAATAACTATCATATGATTAACATATAATAACACTGTTATTATAAGTATTAAGACCTTTTATAAAATTTTAAAAATAATATTTATATTTTAGTGATATAGAAAAATATAATCATTTTTAGAATGTAAAGTGACAAATGAAAATAAAAATCGAGTATACATACGGAAAATGAGAGAACTTCATACTTAAGAACTTAATATTTCGAGAAGAATAATTTTAAAATGTATTTTAAAATAGTATAGCTTTTAAAACGAAAAATAGATTAAAAATAAACGTAATATTTGGTCGATTGACCATATAATGTATAAATACTTTCAAATGTGTAGTTTAAAAGATATTTTCTTCTTCCAAGTGTAAATAAAATGCAATTTCACAGTCATTAAAAATTTAAATTATTTATAATTCAAACCATATGATTGTATATATAAAAAAAAAAAAAAAAAAAAAAAAAAAAAAATTTTTTTACTGACTAAGAATATTCTTTTCAATAAATAGGAAATGCGTAATATTATATAATTATACTATTAGATCTATCGAAGTATTGGAATTTCTGTATGTTCTTATTATAAATTGTAATCATAATTATCAATGTGTTGTAAGAATTTTCTAATAGCATTATTCATTTAAAGTTAATGATATATACTTTGTAAGGCCTATCAACTTTCCGGATATTATTTAACGATATACTTTCAAAAATTATCTTTTATTATTTTGTTAATATATCATTGATTTTCTAAACTGATTGAATTTAAGTTCTCGCAGAACCAAGTAATTTGGATTAAACGCTAAACTATCAAATATTCATAATTTCAAGATAAAAATAATTAAATCTAATTAAATACTAAATTTTAAAAAGAATTTGTTTAATTAATTTGAGAGTTCGAGAACATACGATAAGTAATAATTTACGATAAGTAACATAAATTTGCCATTGTTTATTATGAATTTAGAGTCACACTTAGTTTCATTTCGTTTGTCGATTTCAAAAGAATCAAAATCCATGAAGTAAAAACAGCAAATGATTGATAAATACTACACGCTCACGCTAAAATAGCAAGTATAGCTTTGTTGAACAACATTTTTATTCTTTGAGAAGTTACAATGTTGATGAATGTTTTACACTGTCTTTTATACGTTTAT